GCCCCGTGGGTCCCTCTGCTGTCCCCGGGGGTGCTGTGCTGGTGGGGTCCGGGCCCCCCCGCGCCCCCCCGTCACCTGTCGCTGTAGTAGGAGCTGAGCAGCGCCCGGATCTCGGCCGAGACGTTCTCCTGCAGCAGGAGCCCCTCGCCCGGGGGGGGCCCGGGGGGGCCCGGCGGGGCTGGGGGGGCACCGGGGGGGTGGCAGAGCAGCAGAGAGGGGGGCCCGGGGGGGGGGGGACAGAGAGGGGGGGGACAGCGAGGAGAGAAGAGCAGCGTTAGGGAGCGAGCAGAGAGCAGAGAGGGGGAGACAGAGCAGAGCCCCCCCAGCCCGACCCCCCCCGGCCCCCCCGGCCCCACTCACCCGTCTGGTGGTAGAGGGAGCCCTGGGGGGGCAGCGGGGCCGGGGGGCGGCGCGGGGGGGGCTCCTCGATCCGCATCAGCTCCTCACAGCACTGCTTCCACTGGCCTGGGGGACGGGGGGGCACAGCGGGGCATGGAGGGGGCTGGCACTGGGATGGGGGTCCCGTGGGATGGGGGTCCCATGGGATGGAGCCATCCCAGGATGGGGACTGCAGTGGGATAGGGTCCCACGGGATGGGGGTCCCACTAGGAATGGGGGCCACAGAGTTGGGGGGGTCCTGCAGAGAAGGGAGGTGTCCCCTTGGGATGATGGGGGTCCTGAAGGGATGATGGGGGTCCTGAAGGGATGATGGAGGTCGTAGGATCAGGTCCCACAGGATGGGTTCCCATCAGGATGATGAGGCTCCCAGTGGGTTCAGAGTCCTGCAGGGGTGGAGGGATCCCACGGGGATGAAGGGTCCCACCGAGATGGGGATCCCTCAGGACTAGGGGGGGTCCCACACAGCTTAGGGGGGTCCCACATGGCTTGGGGAGATCCCACAGGGCTCGGGGGCCCTGTAACAATGGGGGTCCCACACGGATGGAGGGTCACACAGGGATGGGTCACACGTGGACGGTGGGGGTTCCTGCGGGCTTGGGGGTCCACGGGGGGGTCTCCACTCACCCAGGT